AATGTCCAAGGACTTATTTGTTCCAAAAAAAAGTCTAAGGACTTAATCATTCCAAACAAGAAAGTCCATTGGTTTTTATTATACTTTTCTCTTTGTTTTTTAAGAGATGCAGAAATCTGAAGTCTGATTTCACTTCTGAATTATAAGAGATGGTGTTAAAGTCTGAAATATGAATCAATCAGACTGTTTGTTTTTACATCTGAAGTCTGAAATCTGAAACAATATAAACACGAACAAAGTCTCATAACGACTAGAACCAATATTCATTTTGCGTTAATTGTGTCGCCATCATCCCCTTGCTCGTTGGTTTGATCATACTCATAAAATAATTCATATATAGGAGAGATCGATTTGTAGAGATTGTTTGGGAGGGATTGATTTGGATAGATCAATAGCTCGAGACCGAGTAAGAGATCGATATGGTGTCCAGATCGTATAATGTGGATAGATCGGTATGATTTGGTAGCTGGAGATCAAACAAGAGAGGGAGAGATCAATATGGTGTCCTCATGTGTGAATAAGAGTCCATTAAGGGTTTAGACTACCACTTAAAAATTCAGAGGATTATAAGAGCTTTTCAGCCCTTAATTTTTTTTTAAAAACCAAACGATCTGAAAATAAAAACGTCTGACCGATTCAGACTTAAGAGGTATTTTTACCTTTGTTTTCTATTGATTATCAATTTAAATTGTTTTAAATTATTAGAAGTTTATCTGATTGTTAATTTTTATGGCCTAATAAAATTAGTGAGGTGAGTATAAGACGGTGTTTGGGATTGCTTATTTGAAACAACTTATGTTTTTATACAAAAGTCTTTATCAACTTATTATAAGTTAGAATGATTTAACTTTTTCAAAAACTTCTTATTACCGGTTTGACACCGGTATAAGTTATTTATCAAAACACTCAAAAGTGTTTAAAATCAATGTCATATCAAAATAAGTCAATAAATTATTTTTATAAATAATCTTAAACACTCTCTAAGTTGATTATTATATCAAAATAATAAAATAAATTGCAAATATAAAAATCGATGAGTCGTAGAGTGAAGGTGCGACTTAAAGAACATAACGACATTTGCCAACTTGACACCAACTTTGCTCCACGTTACTTTTGCTTAATTTACATATTTAGTCCTTAGACTTATGATCAGTTTGCATTTTTAGAACACTCTTTGTTGATAAATATGAAAGCAACAAAAAGTCAGAAAAACCAGTATTTCTTAAAATTGCATAATAGCAACAAACGTATGTAAGAGCACTGAATGAGGATCGAGATGGATAGATAGAGAGCCAAACACTAAGGTTTATGCTACTAAAACCGTTAAGGAATAGTCCAATAAAACGAGATTGAAAAAAAGGTTCGACTATAAAAAGGTTATCCAACATAATAAAGTCGAAAGAGTTAATAACCGACAATGTTTGGATGGTTTTGAAAGGTATAGTCCGATTGGCAACAAACGAGTGTGGTCGACCATCTCCTAATAGATTAATCTCGAGCACAATAAGATGCATTAATGTACGATGTGTTGAATAGAAAATTTGTAACGCTTCATGATGTAAGCAATGTGCATGCGACGAGCGTCTGTGATTTGCAAAGACAGGTGGGACGTCCAAACATTCCACGGAAATAACAGAAAGTTTTTGAAATTTTGTCAGTGTAAACAGAAAATGTATGTGTATTTGGCAACACAGCCATGTCATATAATAAACTCTCTTTTCCTTGGTTTTAGAATTTGATGACCTTTCGGATTATTTGGGGTTTGGTATATAAATACCAGACTGTTCAATAATTACAAATTTGAGAGGGAAACGTTCAAGAGGGTCACATTGATAGCTCTTTAGAATTTTAGAATCTCAGTGTGATTTCGGTTTGTAAATCTTTTCGGTTTTCAATTCCTGGATCTTTTGTTATCGATAGTAGCAATGTCTGTCGTACATACACTATGTCATTAGTCGTTCATACGTAGCTTTCACAGCAGGTTCGTTTCCCTTTTTTGTTACTTCTTAGATCCAGATATTATGGGGTTTGTGATCCGTTATCGTTCGTCTCATAACTAAACATAAATGATTTTAAAATGCCAATTAAATAAATGAAACCAAAATGTTTGCAAATAGAAAGGGGTTATGAAATCCGAGGGTAATGTTTTTTTTATTGGGAAAATGGTTAAAAGTGAGGTTTTGACGCAAGAAGAGGGTTGTAAGGCGTGCATTAAAAGTAGTACGTTGATGTGTGATCTTTTGTGTTGGAAACCATGTGAACCCATTCACAATTCAACGCGTCTTTTTAGCCTCCCAGCTGTCGCACGTGATTTTTATCTTACACATTTTATTTTACAATTTTATCATGTTTTTATTAAAAATTTTACATAATTCACTAAATATTTAAAACAAATATATATATATATATATATATAACACATATAATTGGAAGAATCTCGTTAAATTTTATAAAATAAATATGTTACTGATTTGATATTTAATTTTATTATAATACACATTTAATAAATTGCTATGGTTATTAATAAGTTTCATAATTGTTTTAAAAGTAATTAAAAAGTAAAATAAAATGTATATAAATGTAAAAGCAAGCAAAAAACTATTACAATTAAATTGTTTAAATGTTAGAGTCTCACATCGGTTAGACTTGAATAAATTGTCTTCTATATATATTGAAACCTCATTTATCTGGAGATTGATCTGAGGTTTTACACATTCTCATAGTAAAAATGAGATATTTGTCTTACATTTATTGACTTGTTATTGTAATAATATTAATTACATGTGTTTAATGTTTTTTTTATTATCATCTTGAAAGCATATGTCATATTAACTCGTTAATCCTAATGAATAAGATATATGTCATTATAAATATGCATATTCTTAAAATTACTGAATCGGTTTACAGTGAAACACTTTACAGTTGACGACAAATACAGATGGTCTGAACATCTGTAGTTCGTGTCATACATATAATTTGCTCATTTCATTTAATACACCAACAGTTGTCGTAGTTGATCATGAATAATTCTAACGCACCAAGTAAATTGTCAGTACGTAAAAGAGCTTGGGTGTTCGTTGATCATCAAAACTAACTGTCTTGCCAGGTGTTTATAATAAAGTATTTATCGTTTTGATTCAACAATTTTGTGATGATACGAGTTTGAATAATTGAATAGTTTTGTCGTATAATAATTTTAAAGCATTACTGGTTTTAATTTATGACAACTTTTTTCAGTTTAACTGATTTTGTCTTATGTTGAATATAAAACACGTGTGATGTTATAACGACAAATGAATTTGAAGTGTCGAGACCAAAATGAAAAG